AAAAAAAAAAGAAATGACACTGAGGGACATAAAAGAAAAATTAGCTTTAAAGGCACATCAGGCTCTTTGGTAGAAAGACTTAATATAGTAAAGATCTCAATTCTCCACAAATTAAACTACAAATCTAACACAATTCCAATTTAAATAATCTCAGTGATGGTGGGGGGCGGGAAGGCTTAGCAAAATGATTCCCAAGTTCTTCTGGAAGTACAGGCCTTTTATTTAAAGGTCTTTCTACTTTGCAAGAGGCATGAGGATGGGCTTTCACTAGCTGCCTGTGGGGGCAGGTGGCAGGGTGGAACTGGTGTCTGAATGCACACCTGGCCCAGCTCAGGGCAGGTAATAAGAAGGAGTTAGTGGAGACCAGGAGGGACAGAGGCTGGGAAAGGCATCTGGGATCAGAGCTGGCTGATGTCATCAGGGCAGGATTCAAGACAGAAGGTGACAGACAGAGAAAGGGTCAGGCAGAGACATGCCAGCCTGTGTGGCTTCCTGGAAGACACAGAACCTCAGGACTTGCTGCGATTTTACATCTTAAATTCCCAGGCACCTGATGGAGCCTTTCACCTCCCAGAGTTCGGTGCCAATCAAAAGTGGTCACTAATTCTACCTGGTGGTCAAGCCCCACCCCACTCCCTTGAAAGAGATGACATGGTCTCCCCAAGGGCTCCCACCCTCAGTGTTCACACCACAGCAGCCCAGGCAGAGGACCCAGACAGTGCGCCAGACAGCGAGGCGGCCTCACCTTGGACGTGATGTGGAAGGCCCTGTGCCCACCCACCGCGATCTGCTTCTTCATGACGCTGAAGCGGTTGAAGCGGCAGAGCAGGAGGCCGGCGCTGTGCACCCGCAAGTTGAAGTCCACGTCGTCACATGTAAACCTGCTCAACCAGAGGAGGTGCAGAGCTGACTGGACGCAGCTCACGCCCCCAGCTCCCCACCAGCACCTCAGTCCTGCCTCGAGACCTTACTCTGGAACAGGAAGTGGGAGGATATCAGGCAAAACAGACCAGGCAACAAACGGGACAGAGAGCGACATCTCTACAGGGAAGGCAGTATGGACCCGAGGTTAAACCACATTAGGACCACCACTGGATGACCGCGTGCTATGTGCCAGGTACTACATGAGAAACATAGAAAGCACCAGCCACCAGCTTTCCTGGGAAAAATTATTAGCCCCCTTTTATAGCCGGGGAACACAGTCTCAGAGAGTCAGTGCCTAAACCACAAAGCTGACAAGTGGCAGAACCCATATGCCCAGCAGCTCGGTCTGGCTCTGAAACTGACACTCCTACATGGGTATCGTGGGCTTCGTGTCCAGGGCCTGGCGCACAGAGATGCTCAACAGACATCTGGTGAAGAGGTATTCCTGAGACGTGAGCACTTCTGTAGCTAGATTCTTGGAGAGCAACCTATGAAAGTTACTTTCTCATTTTCTTCAGTGCTAAAGCTCCTAAAAAGCAATATATTCAGAGAGGGACACAAAAAGGCTAGAGAAACACAGTGTGATGTAACTCACTAAATAAAGTACCATGTGCATTGATGAGTCATGCTGAATGACTTATGCAAATACACAAAATTACACAGCACTAAAAAAACTTGAGGACCAAAATGGGGCCAGGCCCATACTTCAGGGCAGTCATCCTCTGGCATAAGTGGCCCCTGCAAGCGAAGGTGAAGGAGCCATCACCAGGCTGCGGGGCTGCCCCTCACTCAGGCTCTGGCACCGTGAGCTGCACTGACAGCCACTGTGCCTCCTCCCGCCCTCCCTGGGGGCAGGAGCTCACCGGTTCTGGTTGTACTGCACATTCTGGGTCAGGTCCACGTTCAG